TGCACACTGGGTGTGCACTTCCTGTTAGTCCGGCTGGGTACAGGAGACAGATGCTCCCTGTACCCGCGGACCATGATACAGGACATCAAGAGTCTCCTAAAAGACGTGAGGCAGGTATGGCACAAACTGAGATGGGAGTTCTAAGACAGAGAATTGACAGAGTGGAGGCTAAAGAGAAAGACTGGTGGACCAAGCTGAAAAACACCCAGGACCAGGTGGACAGTCTGACCCAACAGGTTCAGACACTCACCAGATCTGTCACAACATTAGAAACCAGACACAGGAGACGCAACATTCGCCTGAGAGGTATTGCAGAGCAGATCTGGGGAAGCACTGCTACCTTTCAACCAGAGGCTACTAGCATCAATGGGAATAAAAGGAGGTATTGACCGCACAATGCTAACGTCTGTTTTAGAGTCCGCAAGGCGGCGGCCGCCCAGCAAGGAGCACCCAGAGACAGAATAGCAGTAACAACAGATGTTGCAACTCGCACAGCCATCATGAGCCGATCCAGGGAGTTTGGCAACATACAATTCAAAGATCTCTTGTTTACCGCACTAATGGAACGAAAACAACTGGCCCCAATAGCCACACAACTGCGGAACGCCGCAATTAAATACCGCTGGGGAGCGGATGGTTCTCTGATTTTGACACAAGGAGATACAGCACTCACCCTGACTTCAAAAGAGGACTCTAACGCCATTTTGCTGAGACTGCATCTAACCACTGCCCAAGCGACCGGACCCAGTGTACCGGGAGCCCTGACCTGAAACACATCATAATAAAGCTGACGGCAAATGTAGTCATACACTTATATTGACCACATCTTAGCCCCCAACTGCAGTATGATTATTTACCTTTAATTTACTTAATACCTTTCATTTAATTGTTTTATGTTTACACTACTACTAGGAACATCAAACACCACACCCAACGAGACTGTCTCTAGATGAAACCACACATAACAAGATGTGACAAACGGTAGCAGTTCTCCTTTTTAATTCTTACGTATTTAGTTCACATAAGCTCCAGTTTGTATTCCTTAGTGCACATGTACTACAGAGTTAATGGTTACCTCTATTCTTATATGCCCACTACAGGGCAATGTCCTAGAGGATGCCATGCATAGCCCACACCGCATACTGAAATGCACGTTGCTACCTGCCTATACATTGATATATGTTATATACTTATTCTTGTAACCTTATACCTTGACGCAGATGCTTTTTGAAATTTGAAATTCCAATAAAAAAAAAAATACAAATTAAAAAAAAAAAAAAAGTAAAAATCCCCACTTCCAGGGTTTGCTTTATTGCATTTTTCACTTGATCCTGTCTATATGTTATTAACACATAGATTCATGGATTGTCTGCCCTTCCCCACGAGCCAAGGTTTTTTTTCAGTGAGATGTGTATCAGAGAATAAATGAGACGGTTGCAGCACATTGCAAATTAGTTCAGCAGATTTATTCAGATATTTCGAGGATACGAAGATAAAACCCTCTGCTATCACATGCAATTTTTGGATGATATTTACAGGAACAGGAAAAAGGAAGGAACAACTAGACAGATGTAATAAATACTCAACATGCTTTTTAAAACACACACAGTGATATAGGAGGCCTTGCCCTGCGGTTACCCAACCACGAGTAAGTCAAGATCTAAGCCAGCGCCAGTTGGCTCCCCTGTAGCCCAGCACTGTGCGCAGTGTAATGGCGGTTCCGAGTTACTGTTTTTTAGGAGGTCTCGCCCTCTGCAAGCAGTGACCATATCTCCATTATGTCATAACCATGCACTAGGCTCTGGTAACTGAATGTCATATGTCAGGGCATTCTGCGTAAAGATGGCCCACGCACCGCACCACACCACAAGCGTCAGTGTCAGACGTCTGTACCATTACTAGTTCACTACGATTTGACCCTCGTTCGAGAACCTGCTTTCACCAAATGCGCGATATAGGGTAAAATGATACCACAAGCACCATAAGCACTACAACACATTGTAGTGGCTATGGTACAAGGTTTCTATGGGAGAAGACCCTCACATTCTTAAGAAACTATTGTAGCTTAGAAGATCATATGAGAATGCACCACAAAATATTTATGCAGGCAACCTGTGTAAATTCTGCTATGCCAAAATAATTAACTGCAATTCGGTGCAGCCTGTGACAGAACCATCTGTCTGCTTATTTTAGGTGTATTCGTCTGTTTTATCCTGTTTGTATGAATGGCTGTTTTCTATAGCCCAGCCATTCGAATGACTGTTTTTTTTTCCCGAACAAACTAGCCGAATGGACGGCCACCCAGGAGAGAAGTGTGCTGCTGGTTAACCTATTGATCCCAATTAGAACGTTGTGGTTAACCGCAGACATTTCTCAATTACACGAATTCAGGGTGGTCGTCGTTCGTATGTCGACCACGAGGCAGCGGCCATTTTAAAACCACGTGAAAGCCCAGCGGTGTTCGGCTCTATTTTCATGGAACTAAAAACGGACACTTTTTCTGCCGAACACCGCTGAAACAACGGAACGCCTGGCTGCCTCCACGAAAGCATACGAATACCGGCCGTTCGGGAGTTTGGGAAGCATACGAAAGGACTTAACCCAGATAGCCTTCCCATGGAGTCATTCGTATACCGAAAGACTGTAAGAACTTTGACTCCATGGCGATTGAACTATGTGTATGGGATCTGAGCGCTATTCGCTAATAATATGCACTCAGATCCAGGCTATCTGGGGATATGTGACACGAATGCAGAATGTTCGGTTATTGTAAAATTATGTATTTTTATGTCTTTTTGGGTTTTATGTTTAAAATGGCGACTGGCTTTGTCCTGGAGATAATTGAGTTACTTGGTAATTATCTCCAGGGCAGAGGGGAGGGAATCATAGTGCATTGTGGGTAAAAACTGTGTCTATGTGTCTGGAATGTCCCCATATCTGTCTGTCATTTAAGTCTCCCATTTGGACCCTTAGGGGAGTGTCCACCAAGTGGGAGACCTGCATAAATACGGGCAGGTAGCCCACAGTAAAGCCAGATCCTGTTTGACGCTCAATGCGGAGCTTCTGTCTCGTTATTGGGGGGATTTCTTCTTCACGTTTAGAGACTGCTGGATGTAAACAAAAGCCGCTTGGTGGATGTTATTGTTCGGCGGCTAGCAGCAGTTCGTGTATTGCCGTTCGGGAGTTTGGAGCCGTTCACGGATCCCGGTCGTGAGTTTGCCGCTTCCCCTGCATTTGGTTCGTGCACTACAGGTTAGGCGAACGGAGTTACTGATATTGCAGACGGGGAAGGTCTACTAAACGGCGGTTTTGGCTAAAGACACTGGAGGTGTCTTAACCCAGCCGAATCCCGCTTTTCAAAAAAAACATTCAGTCACTTACTGGAATCCAGCACCAATGTCCCTTGGTACTGGGTCAGGTTCCGCCCAGGCTCCTCCCCAGCCGACATCAGCTGGCAGGGGAGACCTAATGCGCATGCGCGTCCCGCGCTCACATTAGGATTCCCTATAGAAAAGCATTGTTTCAATGCTTTCCTATAGGGATTTGATTGACTCTGGATGCATAGCGTGAGGACGTCCAGCGTCATCTAACCGACTTTTGGTCACCTAACTGTAACGGCTACCCTGCTGTAGGGGGGGTATCTGCCGTTGGAGACGTCCTTTTCTAGGCAAGCTGCTGTGAAGTAATGGAGTTCTTATTCCCATCCACGATATCCAAGTGTATAATCCGGCAGTGCTGTAAAATGAGGCAGAGTAACGGTACCATAAATCCCCTCCAAGAACGAGACGAGGCTACGTTTTGAAGGGTCAAGCAGAACTGGTGTTTATTGACAGGGGTCTCCTTTTATGCAATAGTGCCCTCTGAAAGGCTACACCCACATAATTATCACAACAGCCAATTAGATACATGGTTCAACCCCCACGTCTCCTCCCCTCAGATAACATATAACATAATTAAAACAGACACAATTTTAACCACATTCTGGATGTACCCCAAAAACAGGGGTAATAGCGCTCACTCAGGGGAACAATATATCCAAATTTCAGCCCATTCGGTTGAGGGGTTCGGGAGTTATGGATCTTTGAAGTTTTGACCGACCGCACAGTTTTTCTAGCCGAAAAGAGTTCCATAAGTTTTGGCCTTGCGGTTGGTCTCCATTCGTGCATTAAAACCCCACTGCCATCCACAGTCATCCGGGTGTTTGCTGGAATCCCTATGCAGGCTTAAACAAACCTACCGAACGGCCAGTCGTTCGGTAGTTCCAGCACGAACTTACGAGCTCCTGGAGGTCTCAGCGGTGTTCGCCTGTTTGCGTATCCGTTTTTAGTTCCATGCGTTCACAGGCAAACACCGCCGTTCGTGCGTAAGATGGCCGCGAACACGTGTAAAGTCCCGAAATGGCGGCCATCTAACTTGAGCACAAAGGAATTCGTATGAACCATGCGAACGGCTCCTCAAGCACTGGGAGGTAAAATATCAATTAACTGTTCCCCTGGGTGGTCTGATGTTTGGTATTTTGGGCTGTGTGTTATAGTAGGAATATTTCCACGAAGACTAGTGTAGAATATTGCATATTCTATGTTTCTATTGATTATATATATGGATGTGTGGATTGACATAAGTAACAGATGGTATCAATAAGTCACAAGGCTTTCTTTGTCCGAGAGCTCTGGAATGTGGGTGTGGGGGTTTTGTCCTTATATGGCTAGAGTTATATGCTGACGTTAGTATTGGCACTTCCTTATAGTAAGAGAGGGACACGAGGTGGCTCTCGGTCTACTCTTGGCTTGGCTCTGTACAACGATGTAACTCTCCCATCAGAAGTCCAGCAATTACCATCTGCTGTTAAATGTCCATTATCCTGTAACATCCTATATTATGTTTTATGTATCCGTAACTAAGAATAAACCTGAAGAAACCGTAAGTCAGATTGCGTATTACTACTTTTCAATAATATAGACATATATTATTGTGGCGAGCATTTGGCCCAAGAATATATATATACAAAAGACGTATATATATCAATCAACTGAAGACAAGAAGAAATTAAGAAAGAGTCTACATTAACATCCATTCATCTACATTTTTTACATTGGCTAGCCTGCCAGTCTTCTATTCAAAGTTTTGTTCCCACTTCAAGGGGGGAGAGAGAAGAATCGAGTTACAAAGCTATTTTGGAACTGGGAAAACAAACTTGAAGAGAAAAAAAGAATCTAGATTAGCATAGAAGAACGGTGGTTTGTAAGAAAAAGAAAGTTTTCAAATCAAAGACTGTACAAGACTATTTTCTACAACTGAGACAAAAAGCACAAGATACAACGTGAAATCTAGAAGCAAGCACGTGGCAGACATTGGCAAGCGTCCAAGCAAAGAACTGCGCAGCTGTGTGGATGAAGCAACGAAATAGACAGAGATAACTGATCTGGTAAAGCATGACAGATCCTTGTGGCAATAAATTAGGAAAGCATTCCTTTAGACAACTGGACATCGACTGTTGGAAAGAGACTTTTCATCTGATCTGCAAACTGTGATGGAAGATTCTACAGAGTTCATTCGATACAGAAGATTAACAGACTTACAAAGAAATAAAAGATTGACACTAACATACATATATATTCCTAAATATTAATGGAAAAGAAAAGAGACAATGAAAAGTTATATAACAGTTATGAGTATTAATACCAAAAGAGAATACTTAGAAAATTATGAAAGGATAGTATTATGAAGAGAACTATTACATTATTACCTATACATAGAATGAGAAGTATCAGAGGTAGATAAAATATGAAGTCGATAAAATAAGGATCATGGTTACTTAATATCACAAAGATTGAGTTCAATAGTATTTCATAGATTAACTATAAGAAGTAATTTGTTTATATCGAGGTGAAGTAAAACAAACAATGGTAACATAAGGAAGAAAACTAAGGAAGGATAATTTATATTGATTTATATTAAGTAATTATATACATTAAGAAAGTCTTGGATATAAGAGTTCAAAGATCCAAGAGGAATTGAATTGAATGGAAAGAGTATAGTACACGGTTATATTTGACCTTAGTCTATAAAGGTGTGGACTAGGGAGAATAGGTTTCTGGATATGATGGTATCCAATGAATAAGTTGTTTTATGATTACCCTGAGTTTGTTAGACACAGACTAGGAATAAGAGTTTCTGGGCAGTATGACCCCAAGTTTATTTTTGTTTATTTTATTTTAGTCAGTTGAAGTGTACTAAGGATTATGGATTGGTCAGAACATTAGGACAATCCTGCGTTTAAGATGTATTACATTAATAAGTCATCACAATTAAGGTCTAATGAAGAGAGTGATGCTAATGAATTTAAAGTATTCTTTCCAAGTTATTTTAAAGTAAACCATTCTCCGATTGAATGAAAAGTTTGTAACTACAAGGTGGAATTTTAGTGAAAATTATAATTATGTAAACAAAATCAAATCTATGATAGAAAGATTTCTGGGTGAAGAATTTCTAGGACAATAAGTATTGTCAACACCATGAACATTATTTGAAGAATTATTATAGAACTTCATGGTTGATAACACATCATTTGAATGAGACTTATAAGTAGTGTTGGTATATTTCAGGTAGTGAGAGCCTACTGAATATACAAATTAAATACTATGATTGTAAAGTACTGATACAATCATCACTAGGTGGTATTAATGGTATAGGAATGTAATTCATGAATACAAATGATAAAGATTTTAAGTTGCTAGAAACCATACGATTCATGGAAATCTAATTGGACAGGATATTATAGTAATACATGTATTAGTACTCAAGTAATATCAGGTATTAAGAATGAAAATACTATGCTATATGTGTCTGTAGGAATATGATAGTGAAACACAGTTATTATCTAGAAAGTTACGATCTTAATTTTGTTATCTACAAAGACGACTGTACCTGAGCAGGTAGATCTTTCTAATTGTTTTATTTTTTATTGGATCAACATTTGTAAATATTTTATTTTATTCATTTATTATTGTTATAATTATTGTTATTGTTCAAGTAGTTATGATGTAACATGGATATGGATATCAATACATAGCTGAAACAGAGGGATTTTGAAGTAAAGTAAGCAGTATAAGGGATAGAAACTCGACCTTCCAAGAACTCTCATATAATAGAAATTTGTGACTTCATCTTGTTCTATGCTCAATGAATGTGATACAAGTGATGTGTGAATGGACAGGTTAGTGACATTGTGTTATGGTTTTAAAACAAACCATAAACAGAGGGAATGTAGAATATTGCATATTCTATGTTTCTATTGATTATATATATGGATGTGTGGATTGACATAAGTAACAGATGGTATCAATAAGTCACAAGGCTTTCTTTGTCCGAGAGCTCTGGAATGTGGGTGTGGGGGTTTTGTCCTTATATGGCTAGAGTTATATGCTGACGTTAGTATTGGCACTTCCTTATAGTAAGAGAGGGACACGAGGTGGCTCTCGGTCTACTCTTGGCTTGGCTCTGTACAACGATGTAACTCTCCCATCAGAAGTCCAGCAATTACCATCTGCTGTTAAATGTCCATTATCCTGTAACATCCTATATTATGTTTTATGTATCCGTAACTAAGAATAAACCTGAAGAAACCGTAAGTCAGATTGCGTATTACTACTTTTCAATAATATAGACATATATTATTGTGGCGAGCATTTGGCCCAAGAATATATATACAAAAGACGTATATATATCAATCAACTGAAGACAAGAAGAAATTAAGAAAGAGTCTACATTAACATCCATTCATCTAGTTTTTTACAACTAGCCATTCGGTTTTTGTTTGACACATCCAGCAGCGTTGTTATTTAAGTCCAGGCAAAAGCATAGGTAAAATCATAGTTCTGTTACACTGCTCCCCTTTTGTGGAAAACTCCGGCAGACCTGGATTGATCCTTTTCAGGTCAACTTGAGGCTGTCCGGTCTGTAGTCAAGGTAAAAGCTCCGTTTGCCTGGACAGTCCGTCTGCATTCCCATTGAACCGGCCAGGGCGATACTGAATGGAGAAGTTGTATGGTTGTAGTGCCAAGCTCCATCTTAGTAATCATCCATTGTCCCCAGCCACTCGGTTCAGCCATACTAGGGGGCTATGGTCTGTGATCAAAGTGAATTCCTGACCCTAGAGGTATGGGGTGAGCTTCCTTAGAGCCCAGACCAGGGCTAGACACTCCTTTTCCACTGCCGCGTAGCTCACTTCCCTGGGTAATAGTTTTCTACTCAGGTACGCGACAGGGTGTTCCCCTCCATCTTTCCCGACCTGGCTCAGAACTGCCCCCAGTCCGTACATGGACACATCTGTATGGACGACAAATCTTTTGTTAGGGACGGGGCAGACAAAACCGGTGCGTTGATCAGGGCTTGTTTCAGGGTTTGGAACACTGTTTTGCAGGCGGGAGACCACAGGACTACTCTAGGCAAATTTTTCTTTGTCAAATCTGTCAGGGGTTTAGCGATGGCGCTGTAGTCAGGGACAAATTTCCTGTAATATCCCGCAGTCCCTAAGAATGCCAGTACTTGGCTCTTGGTGTGGGGTGTGGGCCAGTTGGCTACAGCTTCCACCTTCGCGGGTTCTTGTCGCTGTTTCCCACACCCTACCCTGTGTCCCAAGTACTGTACTTCGGCCATTCCGAAATTACATTCCTCTGGTTTCGGAGTTAGGCCTGCGGCCCTAATCTGATCCAGCACGGCCTCTACATGTCTTAAATGCTCTCCCCAAGTCTCACTATAGATCGCAATGTCATCCAGGTATGCGCATGCGAATTCCTGGAAGCCATCAAGGAGACGATCCACTAAGCGCTGAAATGTAGCTGGGGCGTTCTTCATCCCGAATGGCATGACCTTAAACTGGTACAAGCCAAACGGGGTGACAAACGCCGACTTAGGGATAGCGTCCTTGGCCAGGGGAATCTGCCAGTACCCTTTGCACAGATCGATGGTGGTCAGATAGCGTCCCCTGGCAATACGATCTAATAGTTCGTCTACTCGGGGCATGGGGTATGCGTCTGTCACGGTCCGGTCATTGAGGCATCGGTAATCGACACAGAACCGAGTCGTTCCTTTCTCATTTCCTCTTTTACGGCCTCAGGGATTCTGTAGGGAGTCTGTCTGAGAGGGGTCTGTCCTGGTGTCTCCACATAATGTGTCGCTAAGGGTGTGTAACCTGGCTCCTGAGAGAATGTCAATCCTTTTTCAGCTAGCAATTGTTGGAGTTGTTCCCTTTCTGTGGGAGTTAACCGCTCCCCTAGCTGCACTGTATTAAGCAGAGTTTTAGGCTCGGAGTCAGCTAACAAATCTGGGATGGGAAGACTGTCAGGGTCGTCAGTGGCCGGGATACATATGGCCGCTATATCTTCGGGCCTTTCTTGGTACTCTTTTAATAAATTGACATGAAAAGACTTCTGGACCCTTTCGTCTTGGCTACTGGCAATTACATAGGTGGTGTCACATATCTGGGCCACTACCTTGTAAGGGCCCTGCCAGGAGGTCTGTAGCTTGTTTCCCTTGACAGGTCTAAGTACCAGAACTTTCTGACCTACTTGGAACGTTCTCAGCCGGGCGCCCCGATCGTACCAATGTTTCTGACGGCCCTGGGCTGCCTGGAGATGTTCTCGGGCCATTCTGGCTAGGTGCCTCATTGCGGTCCCGCATCTCCAGCACATAAGGTACAATAGGGACACCCTCATGCTCTATCTCTCCCTCCCAGTGCTCTCGGATGAGGTCGAGGGGGCCTCGCACTCGCCGCCCATAGAGCAGCTCGAAGGGAGAGAACCCTGTGGATTCCTGGGGTACCTCTCGATATGCGAACAAGAGGTGCGGCAAGAATCGCTCCCAGTCTCTGTATTCCGCTGTAAAGGTCCGCAGCAATTGCTTTAGGGTACCATTAAAGCGCTCACAGAGAGTGTTAGTCTGGGGGTGGTACGGGGAGCTGAGCAGGGTCTTGACACCACATACCTTCCATAACTGCTGGGTTAGGTCTGCGGTGAACTGGGTCCCTCGGTCGGATAGGATTTCCTGAGGGAATCCCACTCTGGTAAATATCCCGACTAGGGCACTGGCGACAGTGTCAGCCTGGATATTCGTCAGAGAGACAGCCTCTGGGTAGCGGGTAGCATAGTCCACTACTGTAAGAATATACTTCTTACCCGAGGGACTGGGGTTAGGTAGGGGTCCTACTAGGTCGACTGCCACCCGGCTAAACGGTTCCTCGATCACAGGCATGGGTGACAGTCGAGCTTTAGGGTGGTCCCCTCTCTTCCCTACTTGTTGGCATGTGTCACAGGTACTGCAGTAACACCGCACGTCCTTCAAGATCCCAGGCCAGAAAAAGGTCTGTGTGATCCTGTAGGCGGTGCGGTTACCCCCTAAGTGCCCTGCCAACGGAATGTCATGTCCAATTCGGAGAAGTTCCAACCGGTACTTTCTGGGTACCACTAGTTGGCGCTTCTGCAAAGGGATACAGCCTCTCCTCCTACCTTGGGTCATCCTGTATAATCTGTCACCCTCCCATACAAAACGCTCCCGCTCATACCCCCCACTGTCGGCTAATTCCCGATATTTTTGGAGGGTGGGGTCCTTTCTAGTCTCCCTCCCAAACTACTCTGGGGTGTCCCAAGCTATGGGTCTTTCTACCGTGTTAGGGCTGAGTGTCTGTTTGTGGCTTACCTGGGTCCCCCGTTCTACTGGAGGATCGTCCTCGATACGGGTCTGTGAGCGGGTGGTCACGGGACAAGCAGCAACAGTCGTGGGTAGATACGCTGACGCCAGAGGGCCAATGTCATTGTCCAACATGACTTCAGCAGGTAAATTGTCCATGATTCCTACTGTGGTCTTTCCCGACCCGACTCCCCAATCCAAGTGTACCCGGGCAGTGGGAAAGCGAAAAACAGCCCCCCCTGCGACACGGACAGCAACAGTACAGGTAGATACATGCTCCGGTTTCACGAGATGTTTCTGCACCAAAGTGATGGTAGCGCCAGTGTCTCTTAGGCCTTGTGCTACCTGTCCATTTACATGCACCTCCTGGCGCTGATGCTGGCAGTTATCTGGGGATGCAGCTTGTATGGGGTTTGCCTCGTACAGGATGCCCAAACACTCCTCAGGGCTCCCTTCAGTTTCCAGGCAGTGAGCAGCAGAGGTGTGTGATAAAGGGGTCTCTGTGTTATTGGTTGAGCGCCTCCAGTTGTTATTGCCCCCAAGGGGCAATAACGAGCAATATGCCCCGTGTTGCTGCAGCGATGGCACGTAATTTTGTAAGAATCCCGGGGTTGGTTGTTAGACCCCTAAGGACGTGGAGGTCGACTCGGTTCCCGAAATTCTGTGCGTGCAGCGAACGTTGGGTTGCGTGGCTCTGCTCTAGGGGTTGGTCGTGTGGACCCTTGGCTCACCTTTCTTGACTCTGCGTATTCGTCCACTATCCGCGCTGCCTCGATTAAGTTAGCAGGGCGACGATCTCTCACCCAATCTTGTATGTCTGCCGCCAGATCTTGGAAGAAATGTTCCATTAGGAATAGCTGTAGTACTTCCTCTCCGGTGTTGGCATTGCACCCTCGTACCCAATGTGATGCCACCCTTTGTATCTTGTTTGCCCATTCCATGTGGGAGTCTGCAGCCTTCTTTTTAGACTCCCTGAAGCGACGGCGATACGTTTCCGGGGTGACGGCATATCTGGTAAGCAGTGCAGCCTTCACCCGGCGATACTGTGCAATATCTTCCTCAGTAAGCGCCCGAAAAGCCTCATTTGCTTTTCCTGATAGCTTTCCAGCCAAAATAGTGACCCATTGGTCTAGTGGTATCTGGTGTAGTGAGCACTGCCTCTCAAAGTCAGCCAAATACCCGTCAATCTCTTCCTCACTTTCCACAAACGCTTTGAACGCAGTGAACGGTATTTTCTGCCCTGTAGCAGCGGGTGGGGGAGTATGAACTGCATGTGCAATGGGTTGTCTAGCTCTTGCCATTTCAAGTTCGTGTCCCCTCCTATTTTGTATCTCCGTTCTCGCTTCCCGGAACAGCTGATCTATTAATTCCACGGATGTTGCTGGGTACATGGATAATCTCCGCTGAACAAGATTTGTAATTTCCTCCTCCTCGCTGACAGGGGTAGGTTGGTCCGCGACCTCCATGGATCGATCCATCTTGTCCAGCTCCAGTAGGTCAGCTATCAGCTCTCTCCGTGGTCGGTTGCTGGCACTCCTTCCTCTGGTTTCCAATAGATCCTTTCGTGTGGATCTTTTCAGTTTAGCGTACTGGGATTCCATTCAGCACTTGCTTTGGGGATGAAAAGGACCATCCCACCGCTGCCACCAATGTGACGGCTACCCTGCTGTAGGGGGGTATCTGCCGTTGGAGATGTCCTTTTCTAGGCAAGCTGCTGTGAAGTAATGGAGTTCTTATTCCCATCCACGATATCCAAGTGTATAATCCGGCAGTGCTGTAAAATGAGGCAGAGTAACGGTACCATAAATCCCCTCCAAGAACGAGACGAGGCTACGTTTTGAAGGGTCAAGCAGAACTGGTGTTTATTGACAGGGGTCTCCTTTTATGCAATAGTGCCCTCTGAAAGGCTACACCCACATAATTATCACAACAGCCAATTAGATACATGGTTCAACCCCCACGTCTCCTCCCCTCAGATAACATATAACATAATTAAAACAGACACAATTTTAACCACATTCTGGATGTACCCCAAAAACAGGGGTAATAGCGCTCACTCAGGGGAACAATATATCCAAATTTCAGCCCATTCGGTTGAGGGGTTCGGGAGTTATGGATCTTTGAAGTTTTGACCGACCGCACAGTTTTTCTAGCCGAAAAGAGTTCCATAAATTTTGGCCTTGCGGTCGGTCTCCGTTCGTGCATTAAAAAAGGAATTCGTATGAACCATGCGAACGGCTCCACAAGCACTGGGAGGTAAAATATCAATTAACTGTTCCCCTGGGTGGTCTGATGTTCGGTATTTTGGGCTGTGTGTTATAGTAGGAATATTTCCACGAAGACTAGCCATTCGGTTTTTGTTTGACACATCCAGCAGCGTTGTTATTTAAGTCCAGGCAAAAGCATAGGTACAATCATAGTTCTGTTACACTAACCAACGGGACGTCCCTCTAGTGGCTGTCTGGTAGACAGTCACTAGAGGTGGAGTTATCCCTGAGAGGTAATTATTGCAGTTTCTTAGAGACTGCAATAATTACCACTGTAGGGTTAAGGGACATATAATGTTCCTTTAACAAAGGTTATTGGACTAAATTTACAACAAAAAAAAATCGGTGATAATTAAAAGCTCATTTGTTAACCTTTACACCAATTTTGGTTTCCAATATTTGCAAAACAAAAAATGGAGCAAATTATAAAATCACATTGCCAGTTCTGACTTTCAACCTAAGAAAGAATTATCATTTTCATCTAAACTGCCCAGTGGGAGGTCATTTTTTCCCTGTGATTTTTTCAATGTTTCCCTCTTTTGAGAATACTGGAGAATATAATTAGCAGATTTTGCCAGGAACAAAGAAGAAGTTGTGTTCTCCTACTGGCATTTCAGAGAGTGCGACGTGTACATTCATTTATATTCCGATAAATAATAACAAGGACTCATGCTCAGTACTAGTTTATACCCTCTGGGTTTGCAATTATATTTTACACGAGAATGTAGAGTATACAATGGAAGGGGAAGAGCCGCGGTAAGTGACATCACAGGATGTAGCGGATGGCACTGGGCTGTCCTGAGAAATTACATGTAGTTGAATGCATTTGTGTAAAGTAACTAAGTTCTATGTGTTAAATATATTGTATTCGTCTGAATGTTAGGTAGTTTCATTCCCTTAGTTTGTTCGAATGAAACTACCGAACAGTCGGACCTCCCCTGTGTGTAGTGTGTCTTCAATTACCCGTTGCAACATTGTTGCGAACGGGTAATTGACAAGCTGAGTAGCCGTCCTTTGTTCTCGGGGGCGGCGGCCATTTTAAAACTCCCGAACAGCGGTGTTTTGCCGTCGAGTGTCTGGAACTCAAATGGGACACTCGACTAGGCGAACACCGCTGAAACCGCCACAAGCCCGGTCCGTTCGGTTCCAAACTACCGAACGGCCCCTCGTTCGGTAGATAGAAAGACCCGAACGAGGGGATTCAGGCGAACCCTCCCTAGTCTCTGTAGCTATAGGCTTTCGTGCTGTTTATTCCCTGACTCCAGGACCGACCGCAGGGCCCATTCGCATCGAACCTCAGTCGGCTGTTCTATCCAGTGCGGTAGGTCATTTTATTCCCTCCATGAATTTCCCTGGTCTGATCTGGGTGATTTTTGGATATGTTGTTCACCCAGATCAGGGCTACCAGGGGATGTATAATTTAAAGTGGTACCCCTAAATTTAGGGGAACATCCAGAAACGGGGGGAATTGGTGTGCTGGATAAGGGGATTATGATGCAGGCTGAGGGGAGGAGATGTGTGGGAGGTTAGCAGAGCAGGATTGGCTACTGTACTAATGAATGAAAATCCCTCCCTTGCATGGGAGCAGGCTTTAAAAGGCCCTGCTCCTGATACTGTGTGTCGTCCAGTTATTGGGATTGCTGTTGGGATACTGCTGTGTTATTTTGCCTGCTGGATACTTTACCCTATGGATTTATATTGCTTGTTCCTGCACCTACCTGGGATCTAAAGTGGAGATAGGCTGTGTAATACCAGCTCTCCGCTACACAGGAAATATGAGGTTAGAATCCGACAAAAAACGGGTGTGCTGGCAGATGGGAGCCTAAGAGTATAATGGATGTAATACAAAAGTAAAACTCCATGTTTTCATAATTACAGTGTAACATAGGCAAAAATTAATTATGGAAAGATTATGTTCTGTATGTAGGGGATCTCTCACTGTGAGTAACATGACACTGGGTATGGGAGGATCTCTCACTGTGAGTAACTTGGCACTGGGTACGGGGGGGGATCTCTCACTGTGAATAACTTGGCACTGGGTACGGGAGGATCTCTCACTGTGAGTAACTTGGCACTGGATACGGGGGGATCTCTCACTGTGAGTAACTTGGCACTGGGTACGGGAGGATCTCTCACTGTGAGTAACTTGGCACTGGGTATGGGGGGATCTCTCACTGTGAGTAACTTGGCACTGGGTATGGGGAGATCTCTCACTGTGAGTAACTTAGCACTGGGTACGGGGGGATCTCTCACTGTGAGTAACTTGGCACTGGTCATGGGGGATCTCTCACTGTGAGTAACTTGGCACTGGGTACAGGGGGACTTCACTGTGAGTAACTTGGCACTGGGTACGGGGGGATCTCTCACTGTGAGTAATTGGTACTGGGTACAGGGGGATCTCTCACTGTGAGTAACTTGGCACTGGGTACGGGGGGATCTCTCACTGTGAGTAACTTGGCACTGGGTACGGGAGGATCTCTCACTGTGAGTAACTTGGCACTGGGTACCACGGGGGGATCTCTCACTGTGAGTAACTGGCACTGGGTACGGGGGGGGGGGATCTCTCACTGTGAGTAACTTGGCACTGGGTACAGGGGGATCTCTCACTGTGAGTAACTTGGCACTGGGTATGGGGGGTTTCTCACTGTGAGTAACTTGGCACTGGTTACGGGGGTGTAACGGACCGTTTTGCACAAAAGGGGTAAAAACCGTTTAGACGATCGGCCCCCTTTCCAGAGATACAGGCACAGCTACTGCAGAACCCCAAACTCCCGAACTGGATACAAAATAGCACTCCAACTCCCGAACTGGAACCTCCCAAATAGCTGCTAGCAGACGAACAGGAAAAGCAGACAATCAGCTTACACTCCTGGCAATCAGTCTCTAACAGCATACAGTGAATCCCCCCAAGAACGAGACAAGGCTCCGTGTTGAGGGTCAAGCAGTGGTCTCAGGTGCTGGCACACCCAGCCTGGTTTTTATTACAGTCTTGCAAATACAGGACCGCCCACAGGGAGGTATAAAATATCCAGTAACATATTAGTTACAACCCACAGATTCCCTCCCCCTTATCCTGAGAGGTAACCCAATACACATACCTTTTACCACAATGCATCCTGGCTTCCTCTCCTCTGCCCTGGAGATAAGTGAGAAGTAATTCAATTATCTCCCAGGACAGGGACAAGACTCCATTATGCACATGGTGACACAAAGACAGTAAAACACTTTAAAATACATAAAGTCACATTTGTTACATAACACACAGACATTTAACATATCCCCAGATAGCTCAGGTCTGAGCGCACATTATTAAGCGAATGGCGCTCAGACCACACGAATACAGTTTAATCGCCATGGAGCCAAAGTCTTTACAGTCAGTTTCATACAAATGGGCTCCATGGGATTCCTATCTGGGGTATAACACATTCAAACAAATCTACCAAACCCCAGGCAGAAAAGCACAAATGAAGCTTTTCTGCAGGTAAAAAAGATGTCTTTTAACAGGGGGCCATAGTCCAAAGGCAGCAGGCGAGCAACCAGGCTTCTCCAATGCAATGTGGCGAGATTGGTCTCGTCACAGGGGGGATCTCTCATTGTGAGTAATTTGGCACTGGGTATGGGGGATCTCTCACTGTGAGTAAGTTGGCACTGGGTATGGGGGTTTCTCACTGTGAGTAACTTAACACTGAGTACGGGGGATCTCTCACTGTGAGTAACTTGGCACTGGGTACAGGGGGATCTCTCACTGTGAGTAACTTGGCACTGGGTATGGGGGGATCTCTCACTGTGAGTAACTTGGCACTGGGTATGGGGGGATCTCTCACTGTGAGTAACTTGGCACTGGGTATGGGGGGATCTCTCACTG